TCCTGAATAATATAATTATTCGAACCATCCACAGTCGATCATACATTGGAAGTAGGTATGAGGCTAGACTGTCATGAGTTGGTAGTAGATGTCTAAGGAGTTAGACATGGCAAGAGTCTGTTGCGCCATTCATGAGTGCTTGTGAAATAAGAATTTGAGCATTGGATCAACCTGCACTCATCAAAATCACTTCATGGAATTTATCACGAGTGATTGTGAGATGATAATATCATATAATCTTCAAACCAAGATATATGAGTTGTTGACTACAAATTGGTTGTGCATTGATGATGCGTAAATGCATCAGTAACTTGATGTCATAAAACGTATCGTTGTGCGTGATTCAACGAGTAGTTAGTACAAGCATATAGAGTCGAAGTTTATATGTTCCTTTTATCCTAAGAAGGATTAAAAGCGATATCTGGGCCCCTCGATGATTTTTTTTAGCCTATGTACCGGGCCCGGTCAGAACGAAATTGATGTGTTCAATTATGTTCTATGTCAAACAAATCTAAAATCGGGAAACTAATTGCAGGAAAATAAGTATGACTATGTTCCATGTATTTGTCCGCTGATATCTTGTAGAACAGAGGAGTATATGATCACTTATCTAAGGACAGTCACTGACTGGATCAGAGTTCGACAACGGCTTTTGGAAGCTACGATTGCTAATCGGATCTTGAAGTTACATTGGCAGTTATAGTTATTAGACTTATCCAAGTGGGAGACTGTTGGATTTGGTGTCTAAGCCCATAACTATATTTGGTATGTACTTGACCCGATTGTAGCATGGTCCTTTTGGGGTTGCCTTCACCAGTGCAATATGATAGGATGGACTTTTGAGAATAAGATTATTGGTGATTTATTAATATATTATAAGTATAATATATTAATTCAGAAATCATATTATTTAATTAGTGTTGGTCAAGAATTAATTTGGAATTAATTTTATGATCAAAAGTGACTAATTAAATCTAGGGGTTGATTATGTAAATCATCCATTCTTATAGTGTGGGCCAAAGATCCATTAGGGTGGGCTAAGTGGTTCATGGATAGTCCATGGAGCTTTAACCCATGGATCCTAAGGGATATGGAAGGTCATGGTGCATTAGGGTTTCATGGATGAAACCCTAGCCTTGAGAAACACTATAAAAGCCTCCCCTTTGTGACAAAATCGGCTACACACATGTACACAAGAGTATAGAACCGATTTTGAAGCTACAAGTCTTATTCTCTTAAGCCTCCTTTGCATATTGGTGTTTGTGACACATTAGAGGCACAACATTTGAGGTGCTCAAGCTTCCAAGGTCAAGAACTACACAAAAGGTAAGATATCTACCTAGTTGTTACTTTGAATTGTATGCTAGTTAAGTTATATGCTTTGGAAATTTGAAAAATGCATGTATAATTAGAGAAAACATAGTTCCAAAGCATCTAGGGTTGCATGTGCACCATAGGAGTGTTATAGTGCTTAAAACCCAACAAGGCGTTCATACGCGGGCTTAGTACGATAGGCATACATCGCATATGCAGGACGTACGTGTGGGGGTTTCAAACCCTAAAATTTAGGGTTTGAACCCTATTTAAACAACTTTATGGCCCCAAAACCTTCACCCTCATTAGCCTCCATCTAAATATCATCCCTCTAGCTAACCGTAAGTGAGAAGAGTGCACTTTGAGCTCATTTATGTGTTTTGGTGGTATTCTTGAAGAAGAAGAAGGTGGTAAAAGGACACTGGAGCTTGGAAGAAGCTTGGATCTGGGATTCTCTACTTGCTAGCAACCTCCAGGAGGTAAAAAGCTCTTATCTTGATCATCCTTTCTTATAGATCTAGATAGTCCTTCATTTAGAGCAATTTTTGGTCCCAAGCTTTGTGATTCTTGAGCATGGCATGTTCTTGATCAAATAAGTCTTCATTTCAGACTCAATGAGGGGTCTTGATTCATAAAAATGAGATCTTGATGCTTAGTTCTTTCCCATGCATGCTTTAGAAGGTCTTTAGGTGTTAAGAAGTTAAGTTTGTTGGTATTAAGCACTTAATAGGCATGCAAAGTCATAAAGTTGGAAACTTTATGACTCTCAGTGGTATTTTGGCCTTGGATTTGCATTTGGACATAAAAAAGTCGAAGTATTAAGCTCTTAAGTGGTTAAGAAGGAAGACTGTTGCGTACATTTGGCGTACCAAATGGTACGTTGTGCGTACGCAGGTTGAGCCCCGATGCCTCGGACCTCGAGTACGCCCCGCATACATCCAAAGTACGCCCCACGTACGAGGCTTGAGCTGACTCGACTGAGTTGACTCGGATCGGTTGACTCGGTTGACTTGTTAATTTTGACCAGTTTTGACCAAGGGTATTTTGGGGAAAATGTTATTAATTTAGAGTGGGAAATGTTTTGATATTTAGGAGTCGGGTTGAGCCGGTTGTCGGAGCAGAGATTTATTCAGACTGCATTCAGACTGAGAGGTGAGTTTTCCTCATTGTACCCATGGGTCGGAGACACCAATGTCGGCCCACTAGATTATTTATCTTGGTTAGGATAGTATTATGCTAGTTTGTAGCTGATTAGTAGATCTGCATGAGTATATGTATTTGTTGGTTGTATGTTATGTTTATCTGTTATATATGTCGACATATTGTTGGGTTGAGGTTGTACTGCTTTGTGCGGTAGCCAACAAACCCGGAGCAATCCAGACCTATGCTAAGGACCTTGTAGGGGTATTCCATACATAAGTTGTGGGCTCGGGAGTATTCCAGATATGAACTAAGGGCCCGAATGGCATGCCAGACTCATATTGTAGGCTCGGGGTAATCCAGACTTATGCTGAGGACCTTGTAGGGGTAATCCAGACATAAGTTGTGGACCTGATATATGCTATTATATGTATGTGTGTGTTGGTACTTTGGGGGAACTCACTAAACTTTGGCTTACAATTGTTAGTTTATGGTTTCAGGTACTTCAGAGGATCGTGGAAAAGTGAAGGCGTGATCATGCACAACTTCCTGTTTTATGTCACTGGGTCTTGGGAAAACTCTGATTTAAAATAATGCTTTTGAAACAATGACTCTTTTTGTAACAATATTGATTAATGGTTGATTTTGAAAATTTTAAATTTATTGTGATTTTTGGAGTGTTACATGTTCTTCAATATTCCACCTTCCAATGAAGAAATAAGCTAATAAATGATGTCAAGGCTAAAAACTAAGTAAGAGGAGGCTAGGGTTTCTCAATGAATGATCTTTAGGTGATGGAGACTGGTTATGAGAGGGTTTCCCATAAGTTAGAGCCCTTAAATAGGGCTCAAAACTGAAGATTTAGGGTTTTGATATGTCGCGATTACGCCCTGCGTAACATAAATTACGCCATGCGAAATTCATTAAACCTGCGTCCGAAATCAGTAAGTTACGCTCTGCTTAATTCTTAGTTATGCCATGTGTAGCAGCTATGCCCTGCGTAACTTTCCTACGCCATGCGTAGGACAAAATCCCCCACTTTCCACTTCAACTTCAAACAATCATAACTTCTTCGTTTCAACTCCATTTTCGGCGTTCTTTATATGCACAAAAAGGTATTGAAGAGCCCCACAATCCTATCTAATTACTTTGGATTTAAAACATACTTAACTAAAACCATAATCCATGCAAGAAGCCTGGAATATTACTTTTCCCATTTTACCCTTTTTGCTTCGAAGCACAATTCGATGGCTTTAATCACTTAACCCAACATTATCAACATCTGATAGGGTCTAAACTGTATTCCCTTGAAGCCCAAGGCGTTTACTTGATTCATTTATTGTCCACAATCCTGAAATAATATACTTCTCGAAACATGATGTTACACTAACCCAAATATGATGGAGATTCTCTAACCCAAATGTCATGGAGATTCTCTCCCCCTTCTCTCTTACTTGCATAAAACCTAGCCTTCATAAGCTAAGGTTTTGTTCTTCTTGGTCCCCAATAAATTACAAAGGCTAAAAGGAAGAGTAATATGTTCTTGTTTTGAAAATTGTCTACTTTAGGATGCGAGCTAATAAAGAAACTCTATTTTGGGATTTCAAAGATCATCCGACAATCTATTCTTTTAATCTTTCTTGCAGTTAGTTGTTGCTATTTTTTTTTCATGACCATAGATCGTATATTGTAGTTCAATTGGTCAATTTTGCTATACTTCTATTGCTTTACTTTGTATTTTGAAAGACATCATAACAAAAGATGTGCGTATACATATGTTATTTCCATTTTCCCCTTGAACAGACGTACATATATTTTTTTTCGTTTTTTTTTGCTTTGAAGATGGGAGCCTAATGGTTGAAGAGTGAAACTCAACATAGGAGGTCCAACGTTCAAACCCAGACACATCAAAAATATTGTTAGTGTTCCACAACTGCCTTTCCACATAAACATTAAAATTAATTGACGTGAGCAGTTTAAATGATACAATTTAACAATTTTTAGATACACATGCTTTTGTTCTCATCTTCTTTTGAAGCATCTTCAAATTGAAACTCAAATTCATGGTCATATGCCCATGTGTATATCAATTTAGCCACTTGACAAACAAGACGCATAACATGATGTTTCTAAAAATTTGTTCTCATCTTCTTTTGAAGCATCTTCAAATTGAAACTCAAATTCATGGTCATATGCCCATGTGTATATCAATTTAGCCACTTGACAAACAAGACGCATAACATGATGTTTCTAAAAAAGATGATGGATTCAATCCAGATATACTCGTTATTCTAAATAAAATAAAATAAAATAAAATAAAATAGTAAAAAAAAAAATCCATATTTAAACTTGTCACCCAAATTTAGTACAAACTATTACCCAATGGAGCCTCATTTATCGCCTCTATAAAATCCGGCCGATATCGATCTTGTATCTACTGAAATTAAAGCAAAATAAAAAGTTCATTTCCTTCCCATTTTTAAATTCCATCTCACCAGTAATATATATATGTCATGCAGTATCTATGTATGTATGTATGTTTGCATGATACATGTATCATAAACGTGAGTGGTTTAACCTTGGAAACTTTGCCACCTCTTCTCCCACTCTCATCTCTCTAGAGCCGTCAATCCAATTCTCTCTCTTTAAAAAATCACTTGAATCAGAACCAATTTACACGCGCCGCCACTCACCACCTCCAATAAAATCGTCAGTCACACATCGCAGTCCCATAATTTCTCCTCCACCCATTCAAGAATCAGCATCGGAATAACAAAAAGAGAGATCTGTCAGATTCATCAATCCACCTTTTTGGGAAGCTAAACCCAATACATAAAAACTTTTCAACAAAATCGAGTTTAATTTATGAATCGAACTCACTCAACCATTAAAAGAATTACAGATGGGAGTAGTAACATCATCAATCGCTGCAAAACTCGCTTTCTTCCCACCTACTCCACCGTCTTACACGGTAGTCGGCGACGCTTCCGGCAACGGCAAACTATTTATTCCAGAGGCTCCCAGGAGAGAAGGTGTCGACGTATTGAAGCTTCGAACTAAAAGAGGAAACGAAATAGTCACTGTTTATATCAAACACCCTAAAGCTTGTGCCACCCTTGTTTATTCTCATGGTAATGCCGCCGATTTGGGACAGATGCTCGAGCTTTTCGTCAAATTAACTCATCGTCTTCGCGTTAATGTTGTTGGGTATTCACCTCTGTGTAATTACTTACTTTTCTGCATAAATTTGACCAATTTCTGATCTGATATTTATGAATAAGGGAACGAAATTTCTAGCCTTTATTTAACTTCACTGAAAACAAGAGTTGATTGTTGACTTTTTCGTTGTCAGATTAGTGTTTGATAATTAAAAGATTCTGATAAGTGATAACCAGAAGTGTATAACATTATTCGAATAGAAAGAGACAAAAAACTAAAACAATCAATCTGAATTTTATATTGGATTCAAACATCAACATCTTTTTTTATATCTGCAGCTATGACTACTCTGGCTATGGACAATCAAGCGGAAAGGTTTGTGAATTGTCATCTTTAATTTTCTTGAAATGAAATTAACACAAACCCTTGTCGTATATTTCATAAAAAGAATATCTTTTTTTCTTGTTTAACAGCCTTCTGAGTGTAATACATACGCCGACATTGAAGCAGTATATAAATACCTCAAGGAGAAATACAAAGTCAAAGACAATGAGCTAATCTTGTATGGTCAATCTGTTGGTAGTGGGCCCACCATTGATCTTGCCTCACGTGTATCTGGCTTGAGAGGCGTTGTTCTTCATAGCCCTATCCTCTCAGGGTTAAGGGTACTCTACCCTGTCAAAAGAACCTATTGGTTCGATATTTACAAGGTACACTACCCTGTCTAATCTGTTATCTGTCATCTGTTATCTGTCTGTATGTCTTATGCTTTTTTTGGTTTTAGAATATTGAGAAGATTGGTTTGGTGAACTGTCCGGTTTTGGTGATTCATGTAAGTTTCTTTTTTAGAACATTTTATAGTTGATTATCGGGCATTGTTAAAAGGTGAAAATGTGTGTGTGTGTGTGTGTAAATATTAAACAGGGAACAGCAGATGAAGTTGTTGATTACTCTCATGGAAAGCAGTTATGGGAGCTTTGTAAGGATAAGTATGAACCACTGTGGCTAAATGGAGGTGGGCATTGCAATCTTGAGCTTTATCCTGAGTTTATTGTACACTTAAAGGAGTTCAGTTTGGCTCTTGGAAGGAAATAATGGCTGTAAAGAATAGTTTAGATGGTAGACTTAAGCAAGTGTTAACATCATTATGTAAGAAAATGTTACCTTTTTTTTCAGGTTAATTTTTGGTATTGAATTACCATGTATGACTTTGTAGTTTGTATATACTATATATCCTTGATTTTCAGATACAAGTCAACAAGTATCATGTAGATATTGTATTCATGTATTATGAATATGTGTATGAAGTATGAACATGGTAATATGACATGAATACTCCACTACTACTATTGAGTTTTCCATCTACATGAATCTGTTTGTTTGTTGTTATATTTCTATGTATGTGTGTGAAGGGCATAAGTATGTGTCGTAATCAATTAATAAAGTAAGTGAGTACGAGATTGTCCCATGAAGACTTTAAGAGTTTAAGTCATTAACATCTACAGTTTGACAAAAGTGTTTCTTAATTGTAATTTTTCATAATGTTAGACTTAGAATTGTGATAATCCTTTTTCAGTAAAGTAAAATAACTAGTGAATTGGAAGTCAATTTTGTGAATAATATGAAAGAAAGGGACTAGGATGCTTAATATTCGTTGGTTGTAGTTGGATTAAAGAATAATACGGATAAGACATACTAATTTATTTGATGCAATTTTAAAGGGAACCATAATGATGAGGAAAGACAAATAAAAGATACAAGTATTTAGGGTCTATAATGTAATCGGATGGATGTAAGATTGTCTATATCTAACTTCCCATTACCCCATTTTGGTATGAGATTTGGGTCTCAACTTTCTTTAATTAAATTATCATATTCTTATGGAGGATTTTAATATAATTTGACTTTTTCAAGTCCAAGTTAAACTTAGGTTTTTGGTCGGTCCATATTAAACCTAGCTAATGTAGATACACAACATCAGGGTTGATGAGTAGCGTTGTCTCTTGTATGTTTTTGTTTTTATTTCTTTATAGTTGTACCTTGTTTCTTGCTCATATATTTCTCTTCTGATTATTCATGTATTATTATGTTGCTCCTTATTGACTTATGATTTGTCATTTTCTTATGTTATCGGGTTCATATGCTTATTTATGATGTATATGTTTTCTATATACACCAATTTTTCTCTCATTTGCCTCATTCACAAATTATTGTTTTTGCACATATCATATGTCATCTTTGTGAAGCACTCATTGCCCCCCTATGGAGGCAGCACTGTTGACATCTACCTCACCTTACCCACATCCTGATGTCATCCTCAAGGTTTGTTGTTTATTTCGGTCAATGTTGATTGTAAGATAAATGTGGAGTCATTGGTTCACTCTCCAAAATAATAATAATAATAAACCTTTATGGAAAGAGAGGAGTCTCCAACATATATATATAGAGAGACTTTATTGCACTAATATGGAATACACTAACAAAACATCAATTGAACCGAAATAAACATTTGATCACATAATAAATAACAATATGAAAAAACCGATAATTTTGAACTATAGAATATTCAACAAGTTTTTACCTAAAACATGTTTAATAAAAAGATAAAAAGCAAAAAGAGGACTTAATCTAGACATACATATAGGGACGTATCTTTTTGACCTAATACATAAAAGATGTCTTAATGGGCTAAGTGGGGAGGGGGAGCATTACACATTTAGATCATCCATCTTTCCACCTTCTAGTTGATTTCCCTACAATAAAGCACACATAGATTAGCATCAACTTCTCCCACAATCTACCCACTTAACTCTAGAACAAATACTTTTAATAAAAAACACAAGGGAATAAGAATAACTATAATAAATTAGAATCATCACCTTTTTCATTGTGTCAAAAAGGATTCACTTTGCAGCATTCCAGACATAACCATTCTCCCAATATCATATCTAAAAGCAAAGTAGAACTAGGAGAATATCTACATGGCTCAAAAGGATGAAAACTATTTGCTAAGCTTCTCCAATTTGCACTTGAGTTCATAAATAGCTTGTTGTCTCATATTTGCAAAAAACTTCAATGACTAAAACACAAAAAACAAACCATTATTCTAACCTTCATTCTATCTTTAAGAAAGAAAAAGTTAACACAACAAAAACATGAAGATCTTTACTTTACTTTACTTACCCCAATTCTTTGCAACTCCAAAGATTTCTGCAATGCTTCTCTTTTACTAAGTAGAATTCTTGAAATCTTTAAAGGGCGTTTATAATTCTTCCCACGATAAATAATTATTCCATACCCAAGTTTCAATTTCTCTATGGAAACAAGAATTCCACCACTTTCTGCTTCAAGACATTGTGAAGTGTACAACACCCTTGAAAACACTCTTTGCATTGTAACCACTTTCACTATTTCCCTATGCTTCCAATGTTGATGCATACCTTCTATCACTCCATCAAACACACCACGTCGCCCTAAAAAATCCAACATTTTTTTAATCAATAATGTAAACATAATCACCAAAAAAACAAAAACTTTATATTTTTTATATTCTTTAATTACCAAGAACTAATGTGCTATCCATTTTCAACCCCATCTTTCTGTAACACTCTCTTTCTTCACTTGTCATAATCTCTTGATCCTCATTTGGCTCTGTGGGCTTGCATGCAGAGGATAATTTCATTAACTCTTTTGATGCCTTGTTTATCTTCATCTTGAGCTACAAAATGAAACAAAAAGTAATTGATTATAAATTTATAATATCCATTTTTCGAATAAAATGAAATGTGAATATAATTTGAGTATAATATCCATACAATGAAATACTTGCGTTCTTGATTCCGGATTTCTTTTTCTAACTTCAACTTTTCAGCTTCGGTTTCAACTTCGGAATCACTAATTCCAGAGTTGAATCCATGGTGTTTTGACTGAATCATCTCGAATTCTTTTAATGTACCAATGGTGCTAACATGATCAAGATCCGATAAAGTTTCATCAATATAGTCAAAGGTTTGACTTATGTTGGAACGTGTGGTTTCTTCAAGATGTTGGAAACTTCTGATCTCCATTTCTCTGTTGGAAACAAGGTCTGCAATGGTGGGAGAAAGGAAATCTTTGCCTCTGTAAAGAATTATATAGAATTTATTACGTAACAACAAGACTCCACCTGTCAAAACCTGCACATGTTAACAAATTATCACTTTAACGTCTAAATTTCCCTTTGACTTTTTGGTCAAACGAATATTACCTTCAGCTCATAAGCCATCTGTTCATTGTTTGTATTGGGAATTCCCCATTTCACTGCGATCTTTGCAATGTGACATTTCTCCCATAGCTTTAAAATGGCGGAAGCTAAGCCTTGCAGGTTTTGATTTCTTCCTATAAAAAAGTTAACAATGGCGCCCCTGTTATCTCTTTGAATCATTAAATACACATAAATTATCGAAAAGATTGATGAACATACCGAGGACAAAATGGGTAGGAAAATGGTAAGCTTGCTTCCTCAAGTGAGTTAACTCGTTGTCTGTGAGTTTAGATGGAGCATTCATTAGAGAAAGTCTTGAAGGTGGTTTATATCCATGAACGATTTCAGGAAGCAAATCTGCATCAATCGGCAATGGCTTTGGCATCCACCAATCAATAAATCGAGGGCCCAAACCATCTAATAATCTATCAGTTTCCCTTTCGTAAAGTGACCCTTGTACAGGCTTCGTCTCCTCTTTTCCACCATGGAAACTAGATCGCATCTCTCTGTAATTGCATCCTCTGTAGATAACAAGAGTATCTTTTTTACTCCATATCACTAAGCCTCCCGTTTTAATCTGCCATGAAGAAAATTTGTGGGTTTGATTCGTATGTTGCGAGAGAATTAAAAGATGTGATTTTGAGAAAAACGACATAAGCGTTACGAACCTCGACGATTTCGCGTGCTCTATCCATGTTTCGACACAAGGGCATGTCGAATTTGAGCATAGCGAGTTCATCGGTATTCCAAATTAACCTAATTTGTTCAAGAACACCTTCGTTTACTCCTGCTTTCTTAACATTCACCCACTTCCTCATCCTCCTAGCCTCGTCTCTCAATCTCTCAAGTAGTTCATCATTAAGGGTTATGTCAGCTGCAGTCACCGCTTTCACCCTTTTTGTCCTCCTAAACACCATTCTTTCCACCCTTTCCCACGGCAGTTTCCGGCGAAACAATCTCTTATCTCCTCCGTCGCTATCTTCGTCCAACTTCCCCAATGACAAATCAAAATCGATTGGTGCTAAATTTTTCTGGGTATCCTCTAATTCTTGGTTTTCTTCTTCAAGAATATCTATACTGTACAAAATTTTCTTCATTGCGTGTTTGCCTCTTCCGCCTCTAACTTTATGGGTCAATAATTTTTCGGCCTTTTCGTTTTTGTTATCAGAAGACTTCTTCCTGGTTTTAGGTTTTGAATAGTCAATAACTTGATTGGGTTCAAGAACAAGAGGACCTTTCATCCATGGAGCTGTTTTTGTGGCTGGAATCGGAGGATTTTGCTTAAATTCATTATTTGTGTCAGGGATTTCAGGGGTGGTTTGGATGGGAACAGAAAGGGAATCGGGGTGATTTTGAGGGTTTAAGCAGTGAATCTTTTTCGGGAAATTCAAAGCATTTGAGAGCATGGTGGGGGAGAGAAACATCCTTGCTGACATTGTGATGGAAGCAAAATTCTCAAAGCACAAACAGGTTTGCCTCGAAGCTGAATTTGGAAGTGGAAAACTCGAAATGCAGAGTGGCGAGATAAATCTATCCAAATGCAACAAAGGTCCCATAAAAATCTTGACATGTCATCATCTACGTGGCTGATTTGGCTGATGAGGCAAGCTCTTCCAGACTGTATGTATCTATAGATCTCTTTTTGTATCTACTTGACAAGGACAAAGCCTCAAGGGTTGCAACAGAAAATTTACATTGTATCGAAAATTTTCCTAAAAGATTTACTTTGTGCTGTAAAATTTATAGGGTTGCACCGATCACACTTAGAGAAATATGGAATGATTGTGATGAACCTTTTGTGGTTCTATTATAATATAGTATGTTAGAAACACACTTCTTATATTGTTGAAACAGATAACAAACAAAATTTTCAATGAGTTGAATTTATAACCACTTGTTCAAGAACTAAGTTCACCAAAAATATGTAAAATTTGGTATTATTCCTTATCCGATTCTCGCTGATTTCCCAATAAATATAATAATCAATGCCTATAATGTGGGAAACAATGTAGATCATAATCAATATAATAAATACAAAATACACTATGTCTAAATAGGCCCCTACAATTTGTGCGGGAAGAGGAGGGGTACTCAAGCTGGATTTGAAGTTGAAAAAAGTTTACACGATGACCTTTTGCGAAGATGTTGGCATGTTGAAAATCCGATGGTACATGGAGGACACATACATGACCGAGTATGACCTTTTCTCTGATGAAGTGTATATCCATTTTGATGTGCTTTGCGCGTTCATGTTGGACAAGTTACGAGATAGATAGACATCGAAAACGTTGTCACAATAAATCAGGGTGGATAGACGAAGTGAGACACAGTGGCGGACCTTAGTGGAGCCCGGGGGGTCCCGGGCCACTGCTCCGATTCCGATACGTTTTTTTTTCTATTAGGTGCATCGGCTTAAAATACGAGTGTCATTACTAATTTAGATTTATTTGGAATTTTTTTTAGTGCCAACCCTACTAAAACATTATGCGTCCACCACTGGTGAGACATTTAGTTTAGAGAGTAAGGTGTTGTTTGTTTTTTCTGAGGCAAAATGTCTGCAGTCTGCGGACCACATCTGTAGACCTCTGCAGTAGAAGATGTGGACCAAACGTCTGCAGTCTGAAAAAATAAGACTGTTTGTTTTTTTAACATCTGCGAGATACTAAAATAAACTGAAATTTAAATAAACTGATTTTTTTTAACTTCAAAGTGTTTTTTAATATTGTTATGACTTTGTTATAAATAATTAACAAATCTATATCAACTTTTATGTATTATTGTATAAAAAATAAAAATAAAAATGGTATGAATTAACGTATATATTCGATAAAAACCAACAACTTTGGTTGCAAATTTATAACTAAACATTATAATTAATGATACATAAATGGATGAAAATAAACTTCGATTTTTTCAATTAAATCCATTAAAAACGTAGCATAAATATTTTCTCGAGAAATTGACGATCGTGTATTAAATAATGTTTTACAAAATTTAGCAAAAAAATATAAGAATATATTATGATTTTTTTCGTATTTATATAAACAACTTCAACGACTATTATTGTAATAAATCTTTATTTATAAATTTGTCAAAAATATCATGTTTGTATCGTCGAACGTTTTTTTTTTTAAGTTTTGTAATTTTTTTTTTCAATTTTTTATCATTAATAAAGTTGGAAAAAATATAAATTAAAAAAAAAACTGAAAAAAATATAGATATATGTGTTTTTTTTAGTCTAGAAGATGTCTGAAGATATTAGAAGACTCTGGTCCACATCTGCGCCAAGAAGAGGGCGCACAGACATTTTTAGGTCTGCAGTCTTCAAAAAAACAAACAGTCTGCGAAGGCTAATGTCTGCGCGTGGTCTGCGCGGCGCAGACAGAAGAGGTCACGCAGATCTGCAGACAAAAAACAAACACCACCTAAATTATATAGCAACACCCTTCAACAACGAAGTTTGCTACACCGTGGTACTCGGCTTCTGCATTGGACATGGACAACGTGATTTTTCGTTTAGCCAACCAAGAGATAAGGTTGTCTCCAAGGATTGGATTTTGGGTTTGTTCACCTCTAGTAAGAAGACATAGGTAATGGGAATGGATTATGAGTGTTTAAGGGTTGTTGAGATGTAGTGAGAAGACATTGATGATGGGGATATATAAGGAATGTTTAAGGGCTGTTGAGATGTAGTAAGAGTGTAGGGAGATGTGTCTATGTGGGTTGTTGGCCCTATTGCAAGTCGGTAAGTAGTATGGAGGAGAGTTGTTTAGGCCAAGAGTGTGAGGGTTGTTGGGTTGGTAATTAGTCTGAGGTGGAGGGCTTTTCATGTTGGGACAAATGGTGGGAAGGATAGTGAACAAGGGTTGTTGAAGGGTTGTTTGAAATGAGTGGAGTGGTGAGAAAGATGGTGTATAGTGTTGGTGATAGGATAAGTATGAGGATGGTTCAGTAGAATCATAAAACTTGTATTGATGTGGTTGGTATTTGGATAGATTTGAGTATGGGAATATATGTTAATGAAATGTTACATGATAGAATATAATTGGAGGGGAGTTTGAGAGTGTAAAGATAGGTATCCTCGATGATTTATTTGGTAGCCGAGAAAGACATAATGAGTGGTTAGTAGGGATAATATTTGAGGGACAGTGGAGGGAATGTTAGGGTACCACAAGCACCCGAAGGTGTAGAGGTGGGTGTTCATTGATATAGTATTTTGGTGGGTGTTTTATTGGCAATGGTGCGAGACGGGAGAACTAAGTTGTTATCTTGATGTTTAAAGGGTGTAGTTCCAAAATGAGGGAGATAAAGAAGCTTGTATGAGATTTGTGTCTATCATATATTGTTATAGTTTGAAGGATATGTTTGTCTTTACCATTTTGGGATGAGGTATATGAGCATGTAAAATAGTGTTGGATGTCATGGGTTGTGCAAAATGATTAAACACTGTATTGTTAAATTCGCGTTCATTGTTACATTGGAATGTCTTTAACTTTCTTTTGAATTAGGTATGTATTCGTATATGAGCTTATAGGAAAGTTTGAAATACTTGAGATTTTGTTTTTGAGTACAAAGGTCTACATGGAACATGAGAAATCGTCAAGCATCTCAAGGTAGTATTTGTGATTATGTGTGCTAGTGATGAGAGATGCCCAAATGGTGAAAAAGTAATAGAAAGAGAAATATAAATGGTAACAATGTTTTCCCAAAGAACAAGCATAACACACAATGTCATTACTTTTGCTATTACTAGGAAACAAATTGCTACGGTTGAATAAATGAAAATTTGAAATTGCAGGATGGTCGAGTCAGTTATGATATCTGGTTGGCGACACGATAAAAGAGCTACGGGAGGAGACTTGGCATGTTTGGGCTTGAGTAAGAGAATAGAGCTCGTTAGAATTATTGCATCTCATGATATGCTTTCGTGTGTTGAGTTTCTTCGTAGAAAATCCAAACGGGTCAAATTCTATTGACATGTTATCATCACAAGTAAATTTTAGAACATTAATAGAGGTTTTCGATGATGTTGAGACATGATAAAGTTGTTCAAAATTAAGGAAGGGTGCGGTTGTGTTGCCATGACAAAGAATTGGGACAAGAGTATCATTTCCTACTAGGGATTGATCCTAATGTATATCCTTTCTCAAATTATAGGGATTGACTATTGTATTTATTCTCAAAAAAATAATTTATATTATATGAATTTCACAAGAAAGATTTACATAGACGTAGCGGATAAAAAATAATGAGAACGGTATACCAAACTTATGGTAGCATTACGCAAATTCCCATTCTCGATTGCCCCAGATTAAATACAATGGTCAATCCCTATAATATGGTAAAAGATATTCATCAGAATCAATACAATAATCGAAAAAATATAATAATCAAAGAATAATGAAACAAAATTCAATATAATAATTAAAGAATAATGATACAAAATACACCAAGTCTAATAACATGAAAAAATGCATGAAGAAAATGCCAACAAACCAATTCACTACCACCTCTTTTTTAGCAAAAATCTTATAGCAGAAACAAGGGGATCATGATTCTTGACCACACATCACCATATCATTCTACACAACCCACAAAAAAAAAGGAAAATAAAATACATGGATCTGGTCCAACAAACACATAAAGATATCTAACAGTTCTATTGATCAAATTAATCTAATTTAAACCATGAAATCGAATATTTACAATTGAAATTGGTCACAATCATATATTCTTAGCTTCTTCTTCTTCCAAAGGATCACGAAGGGTACCAAACATGGAATCCATCCACACTGTGTAATGCCCATAATTATGACGATATGTTGTATGATGAATTGTGTGGTATCCTGCCCCCATTACTGGCCAAATTTTTCCATGAATGCAATCATGAATGTTAGCTGTCCATATAGCTTCCAGAAATAAAAGCACAATGTGTGTTGTGAAATGTGTAGGCACTATAAATAGAGCAATCACATGTGGTAATGCTTGCAGAATTCCATCTATTGGGTGGAATGCCAATCCTGAGAAAAAAAAATGAATTACACACCAATTAGATACTTATATGATGTTTAACAAGAACCCTAATGTTTTCTTGTTTAACATGCTTAAATTTCAAGATAACAAGAACCCTCAAGTTGTATGCTTTAACATGCCTAAATGACAAGAACCCTAAAGTTTTCTTGTTCAACATGCTTAAATTTTAAGAAACCTAAAGTTTTCTTGAATACATGCCTAAATTTCAAGAACCCTAAAATTTTCTTGAATACATGCCTGAAATTTCAAGAACCCTAAAATTTTCTTGAATACATGCCTAAATTTCAAGAACCCGAAAATTTTCTTGAATACATGCCTAAATGACAAGAACCCTAAAATTTTCTTGAATACATGCTTAAATGACAAGAACCCTAAAGTTTTCTTGAATACATGCCTAAATCTCAAGAACCCTAAAAGCTTTCTTGACTAGATGCCTAACTTTCAAGAACCCAAAAGTTTTCTTGGTCAACATGCCTAAATAACAAGAACCTTAAAGTTCAAAACTTTGGAGATCAAACTTTTTGTTACCAAAAAGAAATCAAGACTTTTAGCAAATCCTATATTTACAACAAGAACCCCAAAGTTTCTTGTTTAACAAACCTAAATGGCAAAAAACTCTTAAGTTTTTAATTTCAGAAAACCATTATGTTTTGGGCAAATTTGTAGTTTAACTAACCACTTACACGTTATTTTTTCCAACCAAACCACAAAAGTTCTAGACATTTTTTTTCCCAAATTAACTTTTTTGACCTGATATAATAGGTCTCAATATCAAGTCAAAACGGTTAATTTAGAAAACTTTATGAGACTTTTATGGTTTGAAATAAAGTATTAGTGGTTGAAAGGTAGACAAAGGTACTTACCAGCAAATGGAGAAAGTGTATTTTGCTTATTGTAGATATGATGAGTTGCATGAAGATATTTGTAAAGAGGCTTAATATCATGCAACTCTCTATGCATCCAATAAATCCCAAATTCTACAATTAAGAAATAAAGCCCAAAATTCCAAATGTATGAAGCCCATCCAACGTCACTTATTCTTGAAAAGCATCTTGTCCGTCCATTTTCAACCATGTACTCAGAGATTGTAGGAAGAGCACAATACCATGGCATCGCCTTCATTGCTACATATATTTGTAAAAGCATTGCTTTTCTTGAAGGAATTGCATCTGTAAATCAATAAAGATTTCAATAATCATCAAACACTACTAGAAATTTTATTTTCGTTCATAACAACTTGATACAAATCTTTATGTATAACCAAATTTGAATCTGAAAAGAGTTTAATACGGGCTCCTTTTAGAGGATGATGATGATGTAAAGACATGCGAATCACATTCAAATCTGGGCAGTATAGTAAATCATACTAAATTCTAAAACATGTGTGTCCGAATATTCAAAATGGGGATCAAGATATTTATCCCGAAACAAATGGGGATCAAGAATGATATGGGGATCAATCGTTATCATTTATATCATAAGCTAAAGATTCGGTTCACACAAAACCCAAAAAACAAAACTGAAAGTTGATAATTACAAGCATCTATGAATATCGATATGTGGTTCAAATCGCAAAACAGAAGAGAACAATGAAGAAACTAAGCGATCTTTATATGTTCTGCATACGACTACTGATTGAATTTATAATCGTAAAACGCCGACTTTCCCGATGGAATTGGAACTCACATTTATCAAATGGAGACAAAAACAAGCAACTTTTTTATCAGCTAATTGCTAGATTATAAACAAAAATCTGACCTTTGGGTACAAAAACATTACGCTTAATGTGATAGATGTAGGAGCACCAGAGGACGCCGGAGATAAAGTAAATAAGAGTGGCGGCAATGTAGTTACGCAGCCACCCTTGGACGAAGTGTGGAAGTGGGGTCCACAGCTTTTCCGGCAGTAAACCACCGAGCACTATTTGATTATACAGATTGGTCTCCTTCACGAAGAGACCCAAGTAGTCATCCATCAGTAAGTAGAGAATTGCTACCAGTGAAGTAAGCGGCGGCTGAGGGTTAAACTCCGGCGATGGGTTTTTTACAAGAGTAATAAAAGGACAATCTTGAAGCTGGAAAGTGGGTTGGTGGGTGGGTTGGCTGGTCAGATGTGTGCGGACTCAAAGGAAAGATGGCGATATAAATAATAAGACGTATCATCATCGACAAGGGCCATGTGTCTGGGCTTTCGGCAGCATCTTGTACAAGTCATTAAGAATGAAGTACAACCCTAGAGTAATGAGTTTGACACTTAGAAGAAAAATGGAAGACTACTGCTAAAATTTACTTTAAATTCCAATCAAAAGTACAAAGAGAAAAAGTCAAAAAACTAAACTGTTTTTACATTGGACTCGAGGACTCAACTTCTAGACTTCTGGTCTTCTCCCAAGAATCATGATGTCATTTCATCATGTAATCACCAATTTCATTTATAAATCAATAAATTCATTTATCAACCGGAAGAAAGTTTGTAATTCCTATTCTCTATCAATACAATCGACGGTCAAAAACCAATCGGAAATAACTATGATAATGATTTTAATTCCAATCGAAAGTCTTCGAGTACATAATGTGTTTTCTAAATCAACATTTGTTTTATTTAATAAATGTGATTTTATGATTTAAGTAAAATGTGTTTGATTATTTAAAAAACCTACGGGTTACGGGGCGGGTTTGGATATCTGTTGATTCGGTGGATAAGGGTATGGGTTTAATTATTCAAAACCCTGCGGGTTACGGAGCGGGTTTGGATCGGATTTTGGAATTTGTTAAAAGGGTTTGGATCAAGTTCGATTCGCTCCAAATCCGCCCCATTGTCAGGTCTATTACTAAATACTAGTAATTGTCTTATATATATAACAAATAATTATCATAAAAAATAATAATAATACTACCCTTTTACAAAATGTACAACTAAAAGCATAATTTATAAGATAAATGTAATGTAACTAGTGCAAAATGTTATGAACACAAAAAGGAAAGCTTGGAATTTTTGAAAGATATCTATATATGTTTCTAGGCTACAAAAATGTACACTTGAAAAAGAAGTTTTAAAATGGCAAAGATTACTTAATTGCATATAGGAAGTGGACATATCCAACTATTCAAGATAAATATAGAATGACGTGAGGATTGCGATAGATAGGAAGTTGACTCACAATCAAACCTTTTTACTTTTTGTTATTTAAATTTGAATTCTTTTACACTTTTGTAAAAAATAACTTTTTTTTTGAAATTTTTCTAAGGTTCTTAAGATCATGATCTTACCTAAGATCGTTTTATGTGTTGTAAGATCGTAATCGTAAGATCCGATCAGGATCGGGAGATCCTACCAAAATAAATTCATATTTAAAAATTTGTTCGTAAGTTTTTGGGTGTGCAGTATACATTATTACTTGATGTCGATTAAGACGTCGATATGGAGCCAACTTTAACTTTTTAAACACAAATCATAACTTTGGTTGTTGTAAACCTTAAAAATTAGAAAGAAAACATCTCAATTACAAAAAGAAATAAGATTGCTATGATCTACAACTAAAGGCTTAAGATCACAAATGAAATATCATGAATGTAACCTGTCTAATTCATAATGATACTCTATGAGATTTCTTGCAACTTGCGATGCTTGATTTAAAGTTAAATAGACGAATTTTCCAGGTTCGACTACATAATAAAAATAGAGATGTCATATCAGATTGTGTTAAGATCTTATTATTTCTAGTCCGGATCCTAAGATTCTACTATAGATCTTGTTTCATATGTGCTGTAGTGAGATCGAGATCGTTTTTAGGTTGCAGGATCTTAAAATCGCAAAATCTTACGATCAAGATCAAGATCAGGATCTAAACAACCATTTTTTTTCTATTGGTTAATGGTTATGAATATTTTTTATGGATTTATTCATTGTATATACGAAAATATATTTCACCAACGTTATTTATTAACTTTTTTTATCGACATGCAACTCAAAGTTAAAGCTTATGAGATTCGAACGTACTTTAAGTGATCATCATCAAGTCATGTTATTGGAGTAAGTTATTCATTAACTTCTTTATCGGTTTTACTGACATAATAATTACGTGATATAATTATTTGAAAACTAATTGAATGTTCGTATGTTTTGCATAAATGAAATTATATATATATATATATATATATATATATATATATATATATATATATATATATATATATATATAAAAGTCGTCTGACTTTTGAGCACTAACATTAATAAGCCAACTAAAGTTGTTTGGCGTCGGCTAAAATATCGGCTCACTACCTCCGTCTCCAATCAACCATTTCTTATCCATCTTCCAATCAACCAACGCTTTATTCTTATTCAAAGTTCTTAAATATCAATCTCAGTCTTCTCTCAATTTCATCTCTGAAGTCCACGGTGAACTCAATTTGGCTAAGAAGACGACACGAAAGAAAACCTACAGGAAAACCGAAGGTGGTACGGTATCCTCATCCGAAGGTAGTAGTGGTGCCTGAACAATCGAAGATCCTTTCAATGGTTTTGGTGAACGACAATGAGTTATAGGGATGTAACGTTGACTATAATTGTATCGCATCCGCCTTTGTCTCTCTCTTTTTCTTGCCATATCATATGCACATACCTACATCGGTACTCGTGGAAAATAAGACCAAGAAAGCTACAACGTTTCTGTAATGTCCCATTTTCACAAACAAATTTTCATTTTTAATTAAGGTAAAACACCATTTTCATAATACCCAAGTTAAAAAATCTTGTTTGTTCTAAAATATAGTTTTTTGAAAATCAAAGTAATGTAATAATTACGGAATCTCCAATACTGTTGGAGAGCGTGTATAGTCACACATTCGTCTTCCCATGATCACCAATGGTACCTGAAAAACATTAAACCCACAACTGTAAGCCAAAGCTTAGTGACTTCCCCCAAAAGACCACACACCACAATACACATATAATGCATGCACACTCGGGCATCATACGGTACCCTACATCACTACTGGCAGATCACTGATGAATGCATAACTATATATAATCAGAAGTGAGATAGACAGTCAAACATATGATCCCACTCTAGATCCGCAACCAAACAAGGAACATGGAAGAAAGCCTAGATCAAGAGTTCTCAGGTTATCATGCATGTCTACATACAACCCTTAGGGCACTCAACTAAACGAACAACAACCCCTGGTACTCTAACCAATATACCACCACTCCTATATCCTAACATACAAAGATATATACTGCAACGCATAGTATATTGAGGAAACTCACTTGAATCGAAGACCCAAGGAAATACAACAACATTTTCACTCTCTGCACACATCATTCCTGCGAACCAATTGGCAGCAAATACAAATAAATCCTTAATCAATAACCAAGTCCTTCAAATTTGACCCAAAGTCAAACTATTCAAAAGTCAACGATCAACGGTCAACAGGTCCACGACCCCCACAAAAGTTAAGATTGGGCTATAGTTTGGGATTTTAAGATTGGGCCATTAGACTTATGATTTGGGCTTTTGGCTAGTATATTGGGCTTCCTTGGATTTAGGCCCATGATGGGTTTTGGGCCCAATTTAGAAGATTGGGCCATATTGGGCTTTAGGTTGCCATTTGGGATTTAGGCTTGTTGGGCCTTGATTTCGGGTTAAGTAAGAAAAAGGGTAAAACGGTCTTTTACCCTGGTTATGGGCTAAGTAGCTTAGATTCTTGGTTATTGGTAGAGATCCAATTATTAATTGGATATTATTTTGATAATGATAGCGCGGGGATTTTTTCGGACCAGCTGACCGAGATTCATTTGAGTGTTTCAGCAGCTATAGGTGGGTTTTCCTCACTGTGTTTAGCGGGTCGAAGGCACCAATGTTGGCCCATGGTTTGTTATGTTTAGGATGTTAGATGTTTGCGTTACTCTTGCATATGTATTATGTTTGAATGTGTATTGGGCGGGGGCCGATGACCATTATGTATACTATTTATCTTTGTGATTATTGCATGTGTTATGTGTTTATATGTTTATATGTATATTGGGTGGGGCCCGATGACTGACAGATCTATATACCGAGCGGGGCTCGATATCGGGCAGGGCTCATTATGTGTTTATAATGTATGGTATGTGGTATTTTGGGGAACTCACTAAGCTTCATGCTTACGGTTTTCAGTTTATGTTTTCAGGTACTTCTGGTTCGAAGGGTAAGAACTCGAGATGATTACAGTACACACACCATTTCATTTTGTATTTTATGTTACTATGATGTTTTGTGATGTAGTTGATACACTTTGTTTCACCATGGTTTCTATGATGATATTTTGGATAATAGTTTGAAAATTTTTGGTCTTAATTTTTTGGACGTTACAAATGTATGAATGAAATTGACTATTGGAATGGAATTTTCTGTTGGAATACAATTGTCTTTTGGAATGGAATTAACTGTTTTATAATAGAATGGAATTGATGCAACACCCAAAAATTTCAAACGAATTTAAACTTTTAAAACATGTCAAGTTCATCAAAACATTACAACTTTGTTTTCAAAATATTATTTATCAGAGTATTCCTAGAAACATAAACATAATATGAGGAGTTGTACGATCATGCCTTCGCCTTGCCGCGATCCCCTGATGCACCTGAAACAATAAACTGAAACTGTAAGCCCGAAAGCTTAGTGAGTTACCCCCAAAATACCGATACACATACAGTCCACATAACCATATCAGTAATAACATATCACAACAAACTGAAACAGCATACAATGGGTCCACAGCTTTACGAGCTGGATTACCCCTGGGCCCTCAGTACGAGTCTGGAATGCCTACCGGGCCCTCAGCTCGTATCTAGAATGCCATCGAGCCCTCAGTACAAGTTTGGAATGCCTACCGGGCCCTCAGCTCGTATCTGGAATGCTCTCGAGTCCTCAATATGAGTCTGGAATGCCTACCAGGCCCTCAGCTCATATCTGGAATACTCTAGGGTTTGTTGACTACCGCACGGAGCAGTACAACCTCAACCCATCCCACATAACCTGAAAGAACCCCTTTCTATACTTTCATATTTCTAAAAGACCCAAACTTTCATACTTGACAATATAGTTACTCCAAAACATGCTACATGCATATTCAT